TTTAAATGTGGGCAGTCAAAGTAACCAGTGTAAGGATAGAACGTCAGAAGTGTAAAATAGGTCTGATGAAGGATGAAAATATCACCCATTTCTATTTCATCTTGTTTGTCAGTTGAGCTGACTTCCTTCTTCCTGCCATTGCTCACCAGCATAATTGTGACTCTGAGGACCTAGGAAATGAAACCTGGAATCCACTGCAGAAGGAAGCTGTGTCCATATTTGGACATTTATGATGAAGAGGATCAGGAATGTGGGACTACAAAAGATGACAATTGCATGGCTTTTGACAGAGAAGGAATCCAACATCAGGATGGGTAGTTTACAAAAGTTCTAAAATTCACATCTCATTTCCTCAATTAATTGTGTCAATAATGTTAAAAAGAATGACCACATGTGACATGTGAATTTCTTACTAGGTTATTTGTATGCATAAAATATTCAAAGTCCCTCAACTATAACAGCTATTGAAGTACTGAGGCACAATTTGGTCAATGTCCTATGTCTGCCTTGCAATATTCCCCCACTTTCTCCTCCCTTAGCCCCACAAACAGTACTGCTATTAGAGTTGAATGACCATCGTTTTCATAAGAAGATTCAGCTTAAGGTAAAACAACAAATTTTCCCTTCTTTTTCAGTGCTGTAACAATCAAAATGCAATTCATACATTTTTTGGAGTAGAGTATGTGCTGTACACTATATCAGATGACTAATATTTTATCTTGAAGAAGTCGGGTGAAAGAAGTTATCAACCTCATATATATTATAGCTGGAGATTTCAGGAAGCATGCTTTCAGGTGCTGTGTTCATAGCTAAATAATATCTTCAAAACTGTAGATTCAGCACATCTATTAAGAAAGACTTTACATATTTTAAAATAAGTTGATAAAAATTACATTGAAATCTTTAATTCTAAAAGATTAAGAGTCTTAGAGTCAGAAAATCACTCATCTTAAATTACTCTCCTTAGAGTTGGTTTTTAGGGATATATGCTCCTGGGATCACAATGAAAGTAATGTTTCTGGCTCCTGTTAATTAAGAGCTTTGGAAATTGATCTCTGAGGGATAAAGACTGTGAGAGTAAGGGGGTGAAAATCTAGGTCAAAAATCCTGCCCAGTCAGAAAGCAATAACTATACTGTCTACCAGACAGAGATGGATTTTCCAGGTGTAGAGCCACTGATAGTCGGTGAGTCTGCCCTTTCTGAGGACAGATATTTTTTGTCTTCCATGCACAGGTGGCTTGCTGTGCATCATTCTCAGAGAAACCCTCCAGGTAAGCCAAAGTATATTCATTTACTATTTGAACATGAGCACAGATATTTTAGTACAATTTCATAGCTAAGTAGAGATCTTCTGTTCTTTCTTTGTAGGGGAATTTAGAAGAATCTGAGTAAAGAGGTTCAGTCAGAGAGGACAACCTTCTTAAACCTTGTATTTCATGCTAATATTTATCACATAATTATCTTAAAACCACACATACATCCTGGCCTCCCATCTCCCTCCCACAATTTACCAGTTATTATTATGAAGCATTGTTTCATGTCTTGTTTAATGAAGTAATAATATGGAAAGTCTACATAATCCACCACCTTGGTGAATCTCATTTTTTTCCCCTTCCCTCCAAAGAAAAGCCATCTTGAATATGGTGGTGTCTCTCAGGCATCGCTCTTCATTATATATGTGGTCATCAGCAAAAGGCAGTAGTCATAGCACCTATCATTTAAAGACTATAGGAGTACATTCTACTGTAAAATATAGTGCAACAATCTGATAATTAGCATGGAGTAAGGAGGGCTATATATCACAACATTTTTCAGAAAATAAAATTACATAAGGACACCAGTTGTAATTGGTACACATATACATTAGGTTTTTGTTATATGATTTAAAAAATAGAATTCCATGAAGCTTCTGTTTGACAGACTAACACTAAATAAAATGAAAATTCAGGGAAATTTATGTATGTAAACAGTGTGATATTTATCCTGTAGAAGTAAAAAAAAAATTAAATGTATAAGGCATCATGAGATTAAAGTTTTTCAAAGATGACATTTTTATTTCTTGCAATAAAATATTTAAAGAAAGTATGGTGAAGGTGTGACATTTTTGGTTGCCTAGGGCTTAGCATCATTTCAAGATTTTCTGCTGTTTCTATCATGCATGTATTATCTGTAAGGCAATTTTGTGCAATTGCATAAACTCACTTCAATTCAATTTTTCTCATGTAGAATTTTTTGATAATTTTCTATATTTTTCATAACCTTTGTGTATCATGTCTAATTTTCAAAAATATTTGATTCAATTTTTTTGCTACACATCCCATTATAAGCTGATGCCATATGAATATTGATAGCTTTAACATTTCTTTCATATCCTTTCACTCAAGCCAGAATTCCAAATTTAGTTTGAATGTATACATTCTTCACTGATATTAATATTCCTCAATTTCTGCATCCCATCACTTCCTTCTGACGGAAGAATAGTGCCATGGGGTGTTGCTCAAAGAACACACAGTCCTCCACAGATGAACAAGCACACACACATTCATGTGTATACAGACATAAAAGACTGGAAATGTCAGCTGAGGGGCCTTCCTAGCTATAAGTATATTGTGTGATTATGCTCTAGTCATTTTTTATCCTTGAGTCTTCATGAAGATTTTTTTCCCTGAGATTTTTGAGACATAATTACAGAATATAAATCATATATTTAACAAATATAAAGTGTGCTCTGGAGATACATACATTGTTATAAGATAACCATGTTGGAGCTAATGAGCACATCCAGTTATCAGCTTTTATTGTATAAATGTAAAATACCCAGTAGACGATTTTCAGCCATCCTAAAAGCAACTCCTAGGTGATGGATGAAATTCAGAACCTGGGGTTCTCTTACTACACCAAATGACCACTGTGGACAGCTTCTTTTATGCTCCCCATTAGAGAAAAAGCAATTATTACAAGGGGCACACCTATTAGGAAGCCTTACTGTCACAGCCTGTGCTATCTTGACATTCTATCTTATAGTGAACAAGAAACTGTTTTGTTTTGGGTGGGTTTTTGTTTTTGTTTTTGTTTTTGTTTTTTGTACTGGGGATCTAACTTGGGACCTTGTGCCTGTAAAGCAGGTGTTGGAACCACAGACCTAAATCTCATTCCCAGAAATTGTGTTTCTTTTTAATTTTTATCTTTTTTTCATATGAGATACTTCATTTCATTCTTTGTTTCACTTAGCTATGTGGATTTCTAGTTGTATATATATATTTAACAACTAATTAAGGGAAGAATTTCCCTTAGGATGGGGAAGAATGCTTTAAAATGGTTACATGGCTTCCCTTTGAATTAATTGCTAAACAGATCATTTGTGTTTACAGAGAAGACTTTAATGTGTTTAGAATTTAAAGGCAATGTATTCTAGTCATTCCTCGGGACCACCTGAATGGCTGTCTTCCACATGCTACAATTGACTTAATGCATAGAGATTTGAAAAGTAATGCAAAACATGGGGATTCTTTCAACAATCATCTATTATAATTGTAAAGAAAATAACTACATAAATAGGACTACTAATATGTACTGTCTAGGAACACAAGCAGAGAATAGTCAAGACAAGCAAATGAACATTCTGACATGTAGTATTTACAACCTAGTATTTACAAAAGTCTCTGTATTTTTCCCATGGTTTATATTTAGTTTTACATAGGCTAAAGGGTAAAGTATCTCGTCTGTAACTTGACAAGCATTCAGGTACTTCTGAGGCTCACAAAATTTAGAGACTATTGCTCCAGACAGGTTTCCCCAACCCTGGGCTACAGACTTTGTCCATGCACTGTTATGAATTGGACCACACAGCAGGAGGTGAGTAGCAGACAAGGGAGCTAAGCTTCTTCTGCATTTAAAACCACTGTCTATGGCTTATATTAATACCTGAACTCTGCCACATTTCTGATGAGTAGTGGCATTAGGTTTTCAAAGGAGCTTGAAGACTACTGTGAATTTAAGGCATATAGTTTGCATATTCTGTAAGAGAGTCTAATGCCTGATGATCTGAGATGGATTTCAGGTTTTGATACTAGTGCTGTGGAAAGTATTCAAATAAAGATTAAGATCAGCAGAAAGGCTTGACTGCACAGAGACCACAATAAATCTATTGCTTGCAGACTCATGAAAACCCTACTGGTGAGAACCAAATGAGAAGCTGCATCTGATGGCATGTTTTAAATTAAAAACCAACCCTTATTTTATTCTGCATGAAGACTCTCCATTGTTTCTTTTTCTGATTCTGGCAAATAATATAATTATGTAATAATAATGAAAATGAGGTATAAAATAAAAGTAATAACCTTGGGGCTGGGGATCTGGCTCAGTCGTTTTACTGCCTGCCTCACAAGCGCAAGGGCCCAAGTTTGATCCCTGGTACAAAAAACAAACAAAAGAGTAATAACCTTGATTCATCCCAAACTGTTCTGCCCAATCAGAAGACAAATTGTCCTCCATGAAACTCATCTCTGGCCCTAAAAAAATAGGAGACTTCAACTCTTCAAAATAGAGAAGATAAGCTCATTCTCATTTTTTTCTCTCTGTTTCAGGCCTTGGATTAATTACAAAGAAATATCAATTTCATATATTTCATTGCATTCAAGGACTTGAGTCAATTCTGAAAAAGGGTGGGTGTTTTTAAAAAGAGTTAGAAAAAACAGAAGAAAAATGAAGGGAGATAGGAATTAGGAAAATGATCTGAATATTTACTTGTGTCTAACACGTGAATTAGAAGGTTTTTTTTTAATTGTATGGCTCTGGAAAAAATAGTTTAGGTAAAGTAACTTTATGTAGAGTATCTGCTAAACATATAATGCTGGTTTTCACATATATATGATGTATAACAGACATCCATAAAGCTATTAAAAATTCCATTTAAATCATCCCTAAGAGATATGACTGGTCAGTCACACATCACTTTACTTTATTTTTAGATTTTCTTTTTCACAGATGCATCAACAACATGAAATTCAAAAACCACACAGATGTTTTAGAATTTATTCTTGTGGGACTGATGGATGATCCAGAGCTGCAGCCTTTCATCTTCAGCCTGTTCCTGTGCATGTATATGGTCACAATTTTGGGAAACCTGCTCATCATCCTGGCTGTGAGCTCTGACTCCCATCTCCACACCCCCATGTACTTCTTCCTCTCTAGCCTCTCCTTCACTGATATTTGCATAAGCACCACCACAATCCCAAAGATGCTGGTGAATGTCCAATCACAGGACTATAGCATCACTTACACAGGCTGCCTCATTCAGATCCCCTTTTCATTGACTTTTATTGGTTTAGAAAATTGTCTCCTTGCGGTGATGGCCTATGACCGCTATGTGGCCATTTGTCAGCCGCTGAGGTATAGGATCATCCTAAGTCCTTATTTCTGTGTCCTGCTAGTTCTTCTCTCCCTGCTCATTAGCACTCTGCATGCCCTGCTCCACACTCTGATGGTGCTGCAGCTGTATTTTTGCACAAACATGGAAATCCCTCACTTCTTCTGTGAACTTGCTCAGATCATCAAGCTGGCATGTTCCAATAACTTCATAAATACCTTTCTGATATATTCAGCGGGAAATGTATTTTTTGGTGTTCCCATTGTTGGAATTATTTTCTCTTACACTAAAATTGTCATCTCTATTTTGAGAATATCATCCATTGGTGGAAGGTATAAGGCTTTTTCCACCTGTGGGTCTCACCTCTTTGTTGTTTCCTTATTTTATGGGTCAGGTCTTGGTGTGTACTTGAGTTCTGCCTTTACTAAGTCTTCTGCTAAGAATGCAGTGGCTTCAGTGATGTACGTTGTGATCCCTCAAATGATTAATCCCTTTATCTACAGTTTGAGGAACAGAGAGATGAAGATAGCTCTGAGGCATCTCATTAGTGGGAAGCCATTAGTATGCTTGTGTCATTGTATTTGAGCTAGGATTTATAGAATGTGAAGAAGTGATAGCAGTACAGGTGATCCAGAAAACCTGACTTATCTCACAAGATTTTCCAAAATGACTGCATAATAATATATCTTGGTAAATTTAAACTTGTACTTTAAGCTTCTTTTTGATTCATCCATATCTGTGATGTTTGATAGATGAATTCAACCTCTAATTTTTGCTCTGACAGCTTAGACAAAACTTGAGTTGGGACCTAACTTTTAGAAAATATTTAGGATCAGCTTCAGTGAAAGGAATATTGGAGTTCTTGGCTAGACCAGGCTTGGGAGCAAGGAAGGATGTGTTAATACCTGGAGAGTGTGACTTCTGTGTGACTCTACAGGTAGAGCCGTGTGTATTTCATCCCATATGAAGCTATTGCACTAAACTTTTGTCCATAATTATGTAATTGATGAGAGTCTCCTCAGACACTTATATGCTTCTGCACTCCTATAAACATTGCTTTTATCCTGATTCATCATTTATTTTGTTCACCCAGTTAGATAATATAAAGATTTGTGATGATTTGACATATTTTAGATTTTGATCTGCAACATATTGCCAGTTTTTATATGAAAAATAAATCTTTACAGTATTATGCTTGGGCCACAGAGAGAGTTATATTGTTTTATTTTATGTAAAGATAAAATGTCATCACAAAATAAGAGCATAGCAAGAATTAGTATACTGTATATCATTATGTTCAAAGTAGCTGCTCAGATTACAAGACATTGTTTCCTTTCAGCAGGTAATCTCACCTCTGTTTCATCTTTCTAGACCACACATTTTCTGGAGCTTCCTTTATGGCCAAATTCACAATGTTTGAAATTAATTCTGCTGGTCTCCTTGCTCTTAATTCTCAATACAGGTTTGGTTAAAAGCCACCAACAGTAACCACACTATGAACTCAATATTAGACTGCCTTGATATTTCTTCTGCAAGATTAATTAGTTCACTGGCTTTAATCTCAGTCTCAGTCAAAGTCTCTGAACAGGAGCAAGATGCAAACTTTCTGCCAAGACATAGCAGGCATCATGTGGAGTCCAGCAGCCAATGAATCCTTCTTCCCAGCAGGAACCTCCAGAGCCTGGTTTTTACTGGCTGGATTTCTATCACCCTTATGCTCTTATGAGTTCTTATTAGATTCTCCCGTCTAGTAGAGTATGAGGTTTCAGGTCTGCTTCTTCAGTTGGCTTCTCCAAACCTTTCCAAACCCTTCCCAGGAGCCAGTTCCAAAGGCTCCTGAACTTCATGGTCAGGTGTAGAAATGACCACGTTTCTCTGGTAACAAATTCTGTCTCAGTTACTTCTTATCATTGGTGAGCCAAAATGCCTGACACCCAAAGTTAGAGGAGCTCTTACGTCCAGGTTGGGGCAGCCTTTATCCTACTATTGCACCATTAATCAATTCCAAAATAACATCCTTCATCCCAGCATCACACATCCTAGATCCAGCCACCTAAGAAAAGCCCCACCTATGACATCATGTGTCTTTGGGGGGACATGCACATACATGCTATAACAGATTTCATTATATTCCAGAAAGAATGACCATCATCAGGAAATTTAGCAATAACAAATGCTGACATGACTGTGGTGAAAAAGGTACCTGTCCACATTTTTAGTGGGTAAATGCCACAGGCTGAGGCTGAAAATGGCCCTGCATCTCTTCCCTGCTCCCTCTCTCCTCCCTACTCCCTTTCTCCTCCATAGAATAGAAAAAGAGCATTGTAGACTTGGATTACATAGCCCCAGGAGACAGTTACATTGTATCCTTCTCTGTTCTCTTTTTGTTCATGTCCCAATCATGAAACAATCACACTACTTTCTTCCTAGGCCTTGTAGGCCATGTAGCACTATTTGCCCTGCCTTCTCTTCCTGATTGTCTTCCACTATAGATAGTGTGTGGTGCTCTAGGCAGCCATTAGCTCCCAAAGGTGTCATTCCACCTGGTCCCAGCTACAAAGAGTAATCTTGGTTTTGTCACCTTTTCTTCATTTCCCACCGCTCTCCCCAGCTTCAGACCCCATGCTGTGTCAGTCATGGCAGGTAAAACTACTAGAGATATTGGTATGAAGATTTCTCAATGAATTAATATTAGAAATTCCATAAGATTCAGCTATACCCCTTGTAGGTATCTTCTCTAAAATGTTTAAACCATCATACTGTAGTAGTACCTGTATACCAATGTTTATAGTACCACAATTCATAATAGCTAAATCTTGGAACCACCCTGTATACTCAAAAAGAGATTACTGGATAAAGAACTGAGATATCTATATATAATGGAATACTATTTGACTCTAAGATAGGACAAATTTGAGATTTTTGAAGGAAAATGAATGCACCTGGAAAGCATATTGAGTGAAATAAATCAGACACACAAGGCATGGGATAGGAAATAAGGGAAAAGAAAAACATGAGAACATGAAAAAATGGAAATAAAGTATATGTAAATAGGGAAGCGGGGGTGAAGGGAGGGCAGGGGTTAGGGGAAAAATGAGAACCAAGACCTTTCATGTAAAGGTACAAGATGATGAATGTAACTGTACTGTGTAGCTAAAATGTATCAATAAACTCAATGAGAAAAAATAACTAAAATGGAAGTTATGAGTTTATTAGAGAATTTCATTAGATTATGGGAGCAAAGGTAGTATTAAGCAGTTGAGCAGAAATGGTAGAGAAACCTGGATGATGTACAGCTGGCCTCAGGACTCAAAATTAGTTATCTTGAATTACTCTTCTCTATAGTGTTTGTGTTTAAGGATGTATGCTTCTGGGATCAATATCAATAGTGTTTCTGGTTACTTTCACCAACCCAGAGGCAGCAACAGCCATGCTCTCTGCCAGAGATGAACTCTCCTGGGGCAGATCCCACAGTGTCTACCCTTCACAAGGACATATCATTGGTTTTCCATATGCAGGTCACTTGCTGAACACCTTTGTCACTGAAACCTTCCAGGTAAGCCAAAGTCTCTTCCTTTATTATTAGAGCATGAGTGTAATTTTGGAGCAATTTCATTACCTGAAGAGATCTGTACTTTTCTGTAGGGGGTTGTGAGGACTCTGGATAAGGAAGAGGAGACAGAAGCTCAACAAGCAGTCCTGTAGTCCATGTTTCATGCTAATAGGAACAGCAGAAATCACCTAAATAACACATCCACAACACAAATGTCCATCTCCCTCCAAAGGTTAACCACTGTCATTACTGTGCTGAATTTATTCAGGCCTTTTTGTGTGAAATGATAAAATGAAACATGCACAACTCACCAACTTGTTGAACCCTTTCATTCTAGTTTCCCTTAGGTGAGACAATTTGAATAAGGTGATGTCCCTCATGCACGGCTCTAGTTTTACCTGTAGTCATCATTAAGAGTCAGTACCCACTTTACCTACTGGTCAAAGAAGGTAGTAAACAGGGCTGCAAAATATGAGAACAATCTGATAATGAACGTCAAATAAGCATGACTATATTTAACAAAATTGAGGAGGAAAGGAAAATTAGTTACACACACCAATTGTAAATGGTACACATTCACAATATGGTTTTGTTACATGCAAAATTTAAAATACAATACCATGGAGATGTTTTTTTGAAGAATAATGCTAGAAAAATGAAAATTCAGAAAGAATGATGGGAGTTGATTCATTATGTTGCTTTCCCTGCAGAAGTAAAAATAAATTAAGTTTATAAAAGAAAATTTACTAAGGGCCTTTAAATATTCTATTATTATTACTCACAATGAAATATCTCAAAAAACATGGTGAAATATGCGATATTTAAATTTTTTATTCATTAGGTTTATTGGTACATGTAAGTATACATTATGATCACTTTCATCATTGGGAATTTGTACCTGTACATGACGTGTGGTGGTTCCTGTTCTTTCCCATTCCCCTTCCCTGTCTTCATATCCTTCACCCCTCCCTATTTACAGAAGTTTTGTTTCCATGTGTTCCTTCTTTTCTCATTTTTTCTGTTCCTTTCTTTTCTGTCCCTAACTACCCCTTCTTAGTACCCTTTCCTTTTCCAACCTTTTCTTTCTATTTCACAATATAAGTTATATATTTTTGTCCTCATTTACATTTTCAGTTTTTCATGCCAGAGAAACATTTCAGTATTTGCATGTGTGTCCTATTTATTTCACTTACAAGTATGATTTCAAGGTCTATCCACTTAGCTATTAATGTCTTTAGTATGTCATTGTTTATGGCTGAATAGTACTCAATTTTACAAAAGGAAAAGAAAAAAATATATATTCTTTACACAGTGTCTGGTTGATGGGCATTTGGACTATTTCTAAGATTGAACTATTATGAAATATGCCAATAGAAACATAGAAAACATGGGGATGTTTTTGTTGTTTGCTAAGAAGTACCACCCATAGAAGAATTTATGCAATTTCTGTCATGTATGAATAATCCATGTCAGAAATTTACACCAATGTAGAACTTCAAATAAATTTATTTTTTTCTCATGTACAATTTTTTGAATATTTCCTGTTACTCATTACTTATTTGTATCATGTGTTTCATTTTAATTATTGAATTCATTTCCATTTCTACAGCTTTTACCATCTGTAGTAACAATATGAATCCTTAAATAATTGACACTTTCCTTATTCTTCTTGTTAGTCAGTAATCCCAAAGGAAGTTTAAGCATATGTGTGGTTCACTGACATTAGCATTGTTCATGGTGGAGATTTATTTTCTTGCTTTTCTCTTTCCTCACTACCTCGGTTGATCATTTGTGTTTTGTGGAGTTAAAAGCACCTTCATCTGTTGTTCATGATGTCCACATGTGCACACATGAACAACGGGTTGGAACAGTCATTCAAAGGATAGTACTACCTAGGACTCTACAGGCTGTTTTTGCCCCATTTCTCACATCCTTGTGATGTCTCCATGAGGATTTGAAACCAGAGATGTAGAGGTTTAATTACAGAATAAAAATTATGTATTTAACATACAGTGCATGCTAAAGAAGCACA